CAGACGACCACTTTGGCCCAGCAGCGTGCAGCCATGCGAGCCGCCGCCCAGAGAATCCTCGCGATGTTCCCAGCCACGGGAGCCGACAACACTGCAGTCGTTGCGGGGGTGGCCGCCGCGTCGCCGCCCAAACCCGTGCGGCGGGTAAGGCCTCTGCCCGCTACGCTTGCGTTTCCGCCACCCAGCGACGGAGGACGACCCCGCCGGGCCAGCCGAGGGTCCACCGGGAATCTTACGGAACGCGCCACGACGTCGCCCAGCCCCATGGCCCGAGGAGGAGGTCACTACGGAGGAGGAGTCCCTCCCGGATGACGTACCGGACCCTGAGGCCCAGATGCGTGCCCCAGTGGGGTGAAGCACCGGCGACGGATGGATCCCAGTGGAGATATATGACCGGATCCAGGGGCGTCTCAGCCAGCCGTGTCCGGCCCCATCAGCCGGGTGCCGGTGCTCCGAATTATGTGGGAGGATATGAGCGGCCGATCCCGTCACCCGGGAATCGGATGTCCGGCCCCGTCAGCCGGGTGACGGTGCTCCCAACTATGAGGGAGGATATGAGCGGATGATCCCGTCATCCGGGAATCGGTTCTCCGGCCCCGTCAGCCGGGTGCCGGGGCTCCGAACTACGCGGGAAGGGGGAAAGGATGAGAGAAAGAGGAGAATGCGGTTCCGTCATCCAGAGACCGCTAGCCGACCGGGATTGGTAAGAATAATTCCATAGTTGAGCATTTGTGTATTAATACAGTGGTTTTATTTACATGCCTTGTTTATATTCTAAGCCTATCCCTACGCTGTTCCCTACACCATCGCACCGCTGGCCTACCACGTTTTGGAGTTGGCCATTGTCCGGCTTACCCGTACTACTCCATGTCCGCCGGCCACGTGGTTTACCGGGGGTCGTTTTGTTGCTCCTTGTTTCTTCCGTGATTACGACTGTTCTTGCTAAGTTCTCTTCGTCCTTAAGGAGTAAAGCTTCCACAAGTAAAAGCTCCTGCCAACCTTAAAAACTAACATCATCCATTATTCTTTCGTACCAGAACACAAGAGGCTTACGCTCTAAGCTTTCTAATTTGTTCTCGGTAAGCTTCTCGTTTGCATACCAGGTCATTGTGTTTACCGAAATCTGGCTAGCTCTAGAAATTCTTAATTCTGAAGTTTTCCCCAGTAGGTAGACAATATATAGGCTTGACCGATCCCTCGGAAATGGTGGTGGAGTCCTAATTTCAGTGAACTTTAATCTCGTTTCCGAGGTGATTAATCTTCAAACTGGAGACTTAGAATTTATCACAGTTAAAATTTCATTCTCTAGGTTAAATTTATATATCACTTGCTATTATATTCCGCCTAAGTCCGATTCCTTGACATATGAGCGGCACCTAGCAGCCATTCAGTCTGTCTTCTCAATGTTATCGGACATGGATCAGCTGGTTGTGTTAGGTGTTTTCAACCTACCCCAGGTGGCTTGGTCCATGAACGATATTACCTTAGCTTTAACACCTACGTCGCATCACGACTTTACTGCTGGCATGTTAGACATGTCACTGGCTCACATTAATCATATAGGGAATTCTTTAGGACGTTTGCTCGATCTGTGCTTTCTCTCTGATACGGACGCCGTATCCTCTCACACACCCTGAAGATCCTTATCATCCAACATTAGATCTTACGATCGATATGGGGATATGTACTAAGCCTAGAAACAATTACGCTAATGAGAAAATTCGATGTTTTCGTAAAGCCGACTTTAAAAAAAATAATAACTTTATTTCAGAATTTGACTGGTCCGATTTGTACGCATGCACCGATATGTCGACTGCTCTAGATATATTTTATAGTACATTAAACCTAATTTTTGATCGCTTTGTTCCGTTGCGGTATCCGGCTATGGCGGATAAACCACTTTGGTATACAAGGCACCTTTCTAATCAAAAAAATATCAAGTTAAGATTCTTTAAAAAATACTTAAGAACTAATAGAAATGACTGTTATGTGCATTATATGGTGGCTCGGTCTAACTTTACCGTGCATAACACTCAGTGTTATAAGAACTCTTTCTTTAGCTCGATGTAAGAACCAGTTTGCTCTGGATCCGAAACAGTTCTATAGTTTTGTTAACACTAAGCGTAAATCTAAAACCTTTCTGTCCTTGCTATCGTTTGGAAAATGTACTGCAAGCTCGGATCAGGAAATTGCCGATATTTTTGCACAGTTCTTTCAAACCACCTATTCACTTTTGTTAATAAACGCGCAGACTTACGCTTATGATATCCCCCAGTCTAGTTTTATTTCCCGACCCACCTTGTCGGAATGTGAGGTTATAAAGGATCTCAGAATGTGAAGCCAGTCTTTTCACCAGGTCCAGACGGGGTACCGGGCTGTGTGCTTAGGTACTGCTCTGCTACCCTGGCCAAAACCCTTTTAAAATTATTTTACCTCTAACCTTTACAGAGGTATATCTAAACTAGCAGCAATTCCGAAACTTTTCGAAAAAATTCTTGTGCCCCACTTGCAGCACCAGTGTAGATCTGTCATATCTCCATGCCAGCATGGCTTTATGAAACAACGGTCTACCACTACCAATCTTCTGGAACTAACATCCTTCGTGATCACTGGTTTCCAACATAAATTTCAGACGGATGTCATTTACACTGACTTCAGTAAAGCATTTGACTCCGTGAATCACGGCCTTCTTTTAGAAAAACTTGATCTTATCGGTTTTCCTACTGATCTCCTGGTATGGATTAGTAGTTACCACACAGGTAGAACGCAACGAGTTCTTTTTAAAAATTCAGTGTCTGCTTTAGTCTATGCTTCCTCCGAGGTCCCTCAGGGGCCACCTTGGTCCGTTACTTTTTACCTTATTCATTAACGACCTTCCCTTGGTTATTAATGACTCCCTAGTACTTATGTATGCAGATGATGTCAAACTCTGTCTGCAATATACTGATGCCTCCTACCAGGCAAACTGCAATCTGACCTTAATAATAATAATAATTTTCAAAACTGGTGCTCTGCAAACTTATTAAATCTTAATGGCTCCAAGTGCAAAACAATGACCTTCTGTCGCCTAAGACCTAAAGCTGCCACTTATACTTTGCATGGTGTAGCTCTGGAAAGAGTTAATGCAGTTGAAGATCTTAGCATCCTACTCGATGCAAAACTTAAGTTTTCCGACCATATTTCCTCTATGGTTAATAAAGCTAGACGAGTTTTTGGTTTCATTAAAAGGTGGTCAAAGGAATTTAACGACCCCTATGTTACCAAAACACTTTTTCTTTCTTTGGTTCGTCCGATTCTGGAATATGGATCATGTATCTGGGACCCCCACTATGGGGTTCACCAGTGCTTTATTGAATCCATCCAAAAGAATTTTTTAATATTTGCTCTCCGTGGTCTCAACTGGGATGCAAATTCCTCTATCCTTAGAGCATTGTAGTTCGAACCTTGCCCAACATGAACCATTTCGGGTTCTATGTTCAAACTACAATGATCTTTATAACATTACTTCTAACTCTTCTCCTAACACTTTGAAAGTTTCGAGCACAGTATAGCACAAAACTAACTTTCCTCGTATCCTTACTAATCCTCTCGGATCTATCCCCGTGTTCCGAGCCGTACGTTAGACGGCAGCGCCCCTCGGTCGGTTGGGCGGGAGGTGGGTGGCACGTCAAGCAACGGGAGTCGAGAAAAAAAAACCCGACTCCCCGGTCGGCGAGCAGTCGGAGATCCCCGAAGCCCTTCTCTGCTGCCGATCGCGGCAGCGGCCTTTCCGCTGCTCTCGTGTGAGCCGTCGTCGTGTAGAGAGAAGCTACAGCTTTATGTTTTGCGGTTGCGTTCTGAGATGTGTTCGAGGCGGTATTGGCTCTGCCGGTATGATGGCTCAGCCGATAATAGTTTGGCGCTGTGTGACGTTGATGTGTTCGAGGCGGTGTTTGCTCTGCCGGTATGATGGCTCTGCGGATGATAGTTTGGCTCGGTTGATGTGTTCTAGGCTGTGTTTGCGATGAAATCTATGCTTTAGCTAAGTATGTAGCTTATGTCCTAACTAACGTGAACCAAAAGACCTTCGTGGGTCTTAACTGATGTACCTAAATTTAAGAAGCCCTCCGTGGGTCTTTAATTAATCCTTAATCTAACCTAAATCCTAGCTTACTGACTACTCTTAACTAAACATATATGTACCTGAGACGGGGCCGCGTGAGGGCTAACTCACACCCCATCCCTTCGTCGGGGGTGTGGTAAGATCTTGATCCGGTGGCCGCCTCGCGGCACCTGGATCCGGTACCTCGTTCCTCCGACTTCGACCAAGAAGCGGAGTTCCCGGTTTCCCTGCTGATGGAGGCGCTCCTGGATCTGGTCGTGAAGCTCTACCGGGATCCATCCACCGGTGGTGGTCCATCCCTCGGGGGCGCGCATCTGGGAAGGGACTCCTCCTCCGTAGTGGCCTCGTCCTCGGGATATGGGGATGGGCGGCGTCGAGGAGCGTTCCGCAGGATTCCCGGTGGGCCCTCCGCTGGTCCTGTGGGTTCGTCTTCTGTCGACGGGTGGTGGAACCGCCAGCGCCACGTTTCGGTGGCGGGCAGAGGCCTTACTCGCCGCATGGGTCTGGGCGTCGACGCTGCGGCCACTCCCGCCACGACAGCCGTGTTGTCGGTCGGGGTGGGTGCTCGTACTGCCGGGGTGATGGCCGGCTGCGCGGCTGTTCCCGTGGCTGAGAATGTCTCGAGTATGGTCCGGGCGGCGGCTCGCATGGCGGCACGCTGCTGGGAGGTGGCTGAGGTAGTGGTCAAGCGCCCCATTGCCTGTGGGCGTGCGCGCTCCCAAATGGGCAGCCTGCTCGTCTGCTGGTGTGTCGGTCGCGGTTATGGTAGCAGGGTCGAGGTTGGTGTCTCCGGCGCAGGGCAGTTGCCCGAGCCAGCGACGCCGGTGGCCTGCGGCTCTCGTTCGAGGAACTTTCCTATCCAGGGCTCTGGGTAGTTTTCCTAATGGTTGTCGGATCTTTATTCCTCCTCGTCGTCGTGTTCGGCGTTGGCGACCTCGCAGGATGGTGCCGATGGCTCCTGATCTCTGAAACGGATTCTCCTTGTCGGTTGGCGAAATGGATTCCGTTGGATCGCTGACGCGTCGGGAGGGGCAGTGTTCCAGCCCAGCTTGGGGCCGTGCGTGTACTTGTGCGGGTGATATTGCATGTGGCGCTCTCGGGACGAGGACTCACATGTGCAGCCGTGCGATGTCTCCGTGTGGCGACTACTCGTTGTAAGTCGGGGCGTAGCTCTGGGTGCGCCTGTGAGGCGGCTGATGTGTGCGCCCGTGGGGCGGCTGGTGGATGCGTCTGTGTGGCGGCTGGTGTGTGCGTCTGTGAGGCTGCTACCGGGTGCGCCTGTGTGACGGCTTTTGTGTATGCCATTGTGGCGGCTTCTGGGTATGCCTGTGAGGCGGCTGCTGGGTGCGCCTGTGTGGCGGCTTCTGGGTGCGCCTGTGAGGCGGCTTCTGGGTATGCCTGTGTGGCGGCTTTTGGGTATGCCTGTGAGGCGGCTGGTGGTTGCGCCTGTGTTGCGGCTGGTGTGTGCGCCTGTGAGGCGGCTACTGGGTGCGTCTGTGTGGCGGCTTCTGGGTTCACCTGTGAGGTGGCTTTTGGGTATGCCTGTGTGTCGGCTTCTGGGTATGCCTGTGTGGAGGCTGGTTTATGCGCCTGTGAGGCGGCTGGTGTATGCGCCTGTGAGGCGGCGTGTTTGTCTCGGGTCGGTGTCGGCGAGCTGGTTCTTGCGAGTCGAGCCGAAGTAGGGGGTTGGAGCTTGAGGGTCAGGCCCCGCACGACGGTGTGGCTCGCCGTAGCACAGGAAGTCCATGCCTAGCAGAAGGTGCTTCGCATGGCCTGTGTAAGCTCCCTATTGGATCCGTCGGCTAACTTCACTTTTGTCCGCACGGCGCGGCGGTTCCTTCCCCTGTCGAGTTGTTTTGCCAGGCGTTCGCTTAAAAAGCTGTGCTAGGGCCCCGTATCCAAGGTAGAGGTTAGAGAGCGCCCCTCAACCGTGACCTGTGCGCGGATACGGTTTCGGTATTTTAAAATTGTGTAAAACAGTAACGGGTATCTTATAGTCGCGGCACTCGACTATAGCGGTTCCTCTTGTTATATATAAACCCACACTTAATGTCGTTAGCTCGCAAACTCTTGTTAAAATAAACAGTTACAACAAGTATATTGGACTGGAGAATGTTTGGATCGAGGAGCTCACCGATACCCCCATTAGAGATATTTTCCGTTGAAGTTGTACGTTTTATATTTCATTAACAAATTTCGTTTACTTACAATTTTTCGCGCGACTTACGTTGCTTGACATGCAACTGACCACCACCGAGTAAGAGGCGCAGCGCTCGGAACACGATTTATTATTATGCTGAGATAGGATGATTAGGATGAAAGGGGAACTACCGGCCGTTTACCGGAGTTTTATTCAAAGTGCTTGTGCCCTTTATTATTTGAACATCACAAACAAACTGAACTTAAGGGCTAACATATGTTATATGAGCTTCTAGTGACCTAACCTATACGTAGAGCTTGCCGGTTATTCCAGAGCTGATAGTATTTTGGCTGGCGCTGGTCATCGGACGATCGGTCATTGCCGTCGCCCTGTTAACGTAGTTAACTTGTATGGGCTTGATCGCCATTGTAAGTTTCCCAGAAAGAAAGCTGGAGGACATAAAACCGTTATTATCGCAGTCCTAGGTAATCGACGGCAAGGAAGCGCCAGGTATCCAAGGTGCAGACAAAATGCTTGCTTGTTCCGCTTGCATTGACCAGAATGTTCAAGTGATGTCATATTATCACCTAACGGTTTAGGAATTAAGCAAAATGCCCGGCTAAACGAAGAGAGAAAAGGAGTGAAACACGAAGTCGACTGCAGATGTTCGCTGCGACATCGGTGAAACGCGATGTAAATATGTCACTAAATGTCACTTATGTCACAAGGTGGCGCTTGGGGAATTCCTAACAAAATGAATATTTTAAAATTGTGTAAAACAGTAACGAGTATCTTATAGTCGCGGCACCCGACTATAGCGTTTTCTCTTGTTTTTTTATGCCTTGTTTTTTTCAAAAATTTTTTTTTCGTTTCGATTTTAATCTATTTAATCTATATTTTCAGAAATTGAATAGAAGAGAATCGATTCTCAAAAAGAAGAATTGCTTTCAAATTGTCAGGAGCAGACATCTAGCTAATACTAAAATCTTACAATAAGAATTTGTTCAGCATCACTGTATGCTGAATTATCTTTGTTATGTATAAGACAAGCCGAGATAAGCGCTTGCGAGTCGCCGATCGCACGGCTCGCCCCATAACATTCGTTATTAATCGCTGTAGAAACGCAGTCGCAGCGTCGCTAAAACATAGAAAACAACTCTTTCGGCCTTTGCTTTTTCACCGTTCACGGCATTGTAAAATATCTAGAAACAGGTGGAATAAATTAATGCCCTCCTCAAAACAGTGGTTATTATGGGTTTACAGCGACTGAAGGTGATTTTTTGAACTGAGACCCGTAGGATTTAATAAATTTGCAAAGCAGTAAAATTTAAAGGTGCTTAGGTTTAAATTGAATACAAAGTTTACAACAACTGCGTCCATTCCAATAAAAGATTTTTTTAAAGCAAGTGGAAGGTCATTTATGAATAATGTAAAAATCATTGGGCCTAAATGGCTTTGCAACTCGTTGCATTCTACCAGTCTGATAACAATTAACCCACCTAAGAAGATCAAATAGGAATCGAAATAAATCGAAGTTTTTCCTTTCTTACGTAATGTAATAATGCAAATTTCCCTCTAAACAGGGGAAATCGTTTCCGTTTCAAAAGATACTTTAAACAGTTTGAGAAGAGAACTGCACAGGGAAGACGCGCAGCGCCTGAGCACACAATATGCAAGTTAATTTAGTGTAACCTTTATTGTATTATTTCTTACTTGCACTCAAGCCCATCCATTTATAAGAGATTGGTTTTATTTAGTTTCTTTCATTTATTTCACCTAAACCTGTTAAGGTAAAGGATAATATAAACAGTGTGTTACAATTATTTATTACACAGCTATGTCTTCGTCTAGAAGTCTTCGTCCGGTCGCAGCGCTGTCGCCAAAGTGCCGGATCAGCAATTTTGTCCAGGTGCTTACGATCCCTCGCTGCGCAAGTGTTCTGGCCAGGATTGACTCCAGAGTGCGGAGTCGACGATTTCTTTAATGCGCGTGTTGGCCACTTCTGATCGGGCTCTGGGTGATTGCCCCCAGAGTGCAGAGTCGGCGGTTTCTTCGTTGCGCATGTTGACCACTTCTGGCCGGGCTCCGGGTGATTGTCCCCGGAGTTCAGAGTCGGCAGTTTCCCTATTCCGTGTGTTGCCCACCGGATGTGGCCCGCAGCTCGGCAGTTTCCCAATTTGGGAACTGGGTGTGTTAACTTCTCCTCCTTTTAAGTGGTCGCCTGATGATTCCAGGTCATCGTTAATTCTTGAGTTGGCGAGGACTTTGCTCTTCAGGTGGTGGTAGCTGAGCCTAAGGGTTGAGCACAGCAGGAGGAAGCCGAGGAGGGCGAGGGAGTAGCTGACGAAGGAACCCAAGGAAAGTTCTTATCTAAGGGTCCCAATGTGGTGGAGGTTCCTCAGACTCAACTCGTGCAGAAAGGGAAGGCTCAGCCGAGCTTGGTGGGTCGTGATGTTGACCATGGTCATGGCTGACACAGCGGGTTTTTTCATTGAGTCTCCCAGCTGATTTATGAACCAAGTTCCGTTTACGCTTATTCTGTCTGAATAAGTAACGAGGTACGTTCCAGATATCTTTTGGTCTCGTCCTTGGTTATCGGTTATGGTCATGTTGGCCTCGTTTACTATGAGGGTACCATGATCTACCACAGTTATTGCATCCAGGTGACCCGGGAGCATGGAACAGTGCGCAATAACTCCAGAAACCAATTGCTGACCACAGGTGTTATTTTGGAGCTCCCTGCAGAGGGTGGCGCCAACTGTCGTCTTGCAGTACCCGATGTTGAGATTTCGTCGCGGGCACTCAGCGACTAGGTTTCCGTTTTCGAAGTCTAGGATCTTGTTGTGGTGCTGGACCGGATAGACTGTTATCTTCTTACAAACAAGCTTATTGTTAGGAAATTTAATGAGAAAATGAATGATATCGGAATTTTGAAAAACACTTATAATAGATACTTCTAAAATTTCTATTAAGCTAATGTCGATTAAATAGTGCTTAAAAATAATAATTATAAATCATAATGTCTGAAATTGTCTGCTACTTAAAATCTTGTAACAAAATAATTACAACTAACCAGCCAAGCGTTTTGTGTTGGCTTTGTGATAATATGGTTCATGCCAAATGTGCCAATTTCCGTGCCACCGTATCGGATGTTTTGGCCCGAGGCGATTCCGGCTTACATTATTGCTGTGAATGTAATCGAGGGACTCAAAGGAAAATGAGATCTTTTATGCGGCAGACAAAAAATGGTTTTCGTGAGGTGCTCGGCGCTTTTCGTAAAGCCAGCGATTTGCTCACGGCGCTGGACACCCAATTTAATAATGTCCAATTGTTAAATGAGTCTCCAAAGCGTAAAAAATCAAACTCTTGTGTGCCGCAGATCACTAGTTCCCTTCTCGCTCCCACTTCTTACCTTCAGAACACTAAAGTGTCGCCTCAGCTGTTTGGAACGCCTTTGGCCAACACTCCGGTGAGTACATAAAATTCGGAATCCGAATTTTCTGGACATGATGGTAGGAAATCGTTAGATAGTTTGTCTGCTTCAAGGCTCCTGGCTCCTACAGAGCCAATCTCCATTAACATCAACCCACTCGATACACTGCAGGGGAATTTCGTGCCCGGACTACCGGACTGTACTGGCGGTGCAGGATCAGAACCTGCTACACCAAAGCCCCTAAAGGTAATCCCACCTGAGAAACATATATTTGTTTCCCGGCTTTCCGAGGATACGTCTGAGTCAGACGTATTGCCAGAACGAAAGCCGACATTAAGGTGGATAACATAACTAAATTTAAATATCCTTATAACAGAATAGTATCATCATTTAAGATTCGCGTCCCCTCGGTGGAATTTGACAAAATGTGCTAAACCAAGTTCTGGCCGGAACACATTTTCGTCCAAGAACATCGACCGGGACATAAAAAAAAGAAAATTAATCGACCTGCGGCGGTAAAGCTCCCTCAAACAAAAGCCATTGAGCAAACCCTCGCAAAAAACTAACATCGTCTCTCATTCTTTCCTATCAGAACACAAGGGGGTTGCGTACTAAGCTTCCTACTTTGTTTTCTGAGAGCTTTTCTTTTGCGTCCCAAATAATTGTTTTTACCGAAACATGGCTGGTTTCGGAAATTCTTAGCTCTGAAATTTTTCCAAGTAGGTATGTAATATACAGGCTTGATCGATCAAGGGGTGGAGTGTTAATTTCTGTCGACTCTAAACTTGTATCCGAGGAGATTAACCTTCAATTCGGCGATATCGAATTCATTTGTGTTAAACTTGCGCTTCCTGGTAGGTTTTTATTTATTACATGTTCTTACATCCCTCCCAAGTCCGACCCATCCACGTATGAGTTGCACCTAGCGGCCATACAGTCCGTTTTTACGTTATTATCAGATGTAGATCAGTTAGTGGTTCTGGGTGATTTTAACATACCACAAATTAACTGGTCAAAAAATGAAAATAGTTTAACTTTAATACCTTCCTCACATAATGACTTTATTGCAGGTATGTTAGACATGACCCTGGAACACATTAACCATGTTAAAAACTCTTTAGGTCGGTTACTCGATCTATGCTTTATCTCAGATTCGGACTCCGTATATATATCTAGGGTTCCACCACTTACACGCCTTGAAGATCTTTATCATCCCACTCTGGAGCTGGCGATCGATGTTGGACCACTCCAAACGACTGAGCCTACTAGGGCTGTCAAAAAGGTTCGATGTTTTAGCATATCAGACTTTCTTAAACTTAATATTCTTATCTCTAATTTTGACTGGTCCGATCTCTACGCATGCAATGATATGACTTCAGCTTTAAACATATTCTACCATGCATTAAACCTAATTTTTGATATATGTGTTCCGATGAGGTACCCGTCCAGAACGGATAACCCTCTTTGGTATACCAAGGCCTTAAGCACCTTAAAAAATATAAAGTTCAGGCTTCAGAAAAAATACTTAAAAACTAGAACTCCGCTTAGTTACTCTCAATACTTAATTGCTCGGTCAAATTTTACCGTGCTTAACGCTCAGTGTTATAAAAATTATTTAGCTCGTTGTAGGACCCAATTTACACAGGATCCGAAACAGTTTTATAATTTCGTTAAGACTAAGCGTAGACCTAAAACGTTTCCTTCAGCACTAACGTTTGAAAACTCAACGGCGAGAACTGATCAGGCAATAGCCGATATGTTCGCCAAGTTTTTTCAAACCACATATTCACCTTCGACAACCGCTAGGCAGCCTTATGTCTACGGTGTTCCACAATCGAACCTCGTCACGCGACCTTTTCTATCTAAGAGTGGTATTCTTAAGGATCTTCAGAGTCTTAAGCCGACCTACTCTCCGGGCCCCGACGGTGTTCCCGGCTGTGTGCTTAGGTACTGCGCGTCTTCCATTTGCAATCCTCTTCTCAAACTATTTAACC